AGTTTTCGGATTCGGTAATGGGTCTGGGGATAGGTGCAGTTCCACTGTACAGCTTCGGATCAATGCCGACAAGAAGCCAGGAGAGGTCAAAGTCCATTGCCTCGACAGAGGCAGTGGACCCATGCTTTTGTCTATCGACACACTGCGCAAGCTTAAGGCCATCATTGACTTCGAGAGTGATCTTGTGTGCTTTAGGGCTTTGGATGATGGAAAGCTTGTGCAGGTCGAACGATCTCAGACGGGGCATCAACTCATTCCCATGACCGAGGATTGGTTGGCCAAAGGCCAGGCCACTAAAAGCCCAGTCCCCAGTCTGAGCAGTTTTGTCAATATCTAGGGACAACTCCTTCCTGTTCCTAGTTCCGTGGGAGCAGCGAAGGTCCCAGACATAGCGGGACACGGGGTGAAAACCACTCTGCAGCACACTATTTCTAGTAGTGAGCTGGGTTTCAGGAGTGATGTTAATGGAATTCATGGTAGTGATGCTAGTCAATCTGCACTTGAGTCTGGTGAAACGGCACAGAGGGAGCCACCACAGACGAGCAGAAGGAGATCCGCGACGTTCGCAGCTGATTGTGAGCTCCAGGATACGAACGGTAGCAGCCCCAACCAAGGCCTCCTCAGTGTCGACCATGCCGAAGCCCACCAAGGCGGACCTTCAGGCCGAGCTTGCCTTGCTCGGGGAGACAGCACCAGCAGGATGGACCAAGCTGGAGCTGGAACAACGTCTTCGAGAACTACGCGAGCTGGGGGTGACCGACCACGAGAATGTGAGGGCGAACACGAGCATGGAGAAGATGCTGAAGGACTTGAGGAGGGCCAGCCGGCTCAAAAGCACGCTGGCCAAGTACTGCACCGAGACATTGCAGCTCGAACTCACGGGCAACGAGGTGATGGCCAAGTTGATCGACAAGGCCACCAAGGAGATCTACCGAGTGTGCCCTGCCGAGGGCCACGACTTGGTCAGTTTCGGGAAGCACGCGGACGAGTGCTACATCGCGCTGGCCACGGAGTATCCCGAGTACGCCACATGGGTCAAGACGACCTACAAGGAGAACGGCGAGGAACATGTGGAACCACGGTTGGCGCGCTTGGCGAAATGGCTCGTGGACCAGGACCAGAAGCCCATGCCCAAGTCCAAGGCAATGCTTCGCGGGGAGCAGGGCTACATGAAGATGCGAGGACCGATGACATCGACGACGCAAGGCGGGCGACCCAGTGGAAGTCGGGCCAGCACGGACCAGATGCCAGCGCGGGCCATGAAGATGATGGGCGAGATGGCCGAAGCCTTGGAATCCATGAGGCAAGAGTTGGCCGAGGTGAAGGGCCAGCGACCACGCAAGACCGCGGGCAAGAGCGACGAGGGCCACCTCACGGACGGTTCGTTCAGTGTCCTGAGCAACTCCCCCCAGAAGGAGATGGAACACGATCTGTGAGAGAGCCTAGTGTAGGACCTCAACAGGAGCACGAGACTATGAGTGCATCCCAGCGGTTGAGTGCCCAGCTGAAAAGCCAGAGCACCCGAGCGCTTCCTTTCAACCGAGCCCGGGCCCTGGAGAGGCAAGCTTGGTCTGTAGTGCCTGATTTATTTCAGTCCCTTGTAGGTTTCCAAAGGCCCTATCTCATGGAATGTGCCTGTGAAGCCGACAGCATCCTTTCGAGCACTGTGCAGACGGTGGCAAAAAGCGAGGAAGCTGCCACACGGTGTGCCTTGTACAACGGCTGTGACTTATCATGTGATGCTGGAGCGCGATTGATCATGGCTAGGATTGAAGCTGAGCGACCCCAACATGTGTGGTTGAGCCCCCCCGGAAGTGCGTTCTCTCCTTTACAGCATTCGAACCAAGCGGATAAAGCCCAAACTGAAGCCCTCAAAGCCAAGCGTAGGGAAGCCCTCAAAGTGTTTGTGGGATGTACTTGTGTCATGCACTACGCCATACAGAAGGGAATCCATGCGACCTTGGAAGTAGCAGATCGGTCTGATGCCTGGCGCCTACCTTTGCTCAACCAGCTGCAACAGAAGTATAATATGTTCAAGGCGGTCGCTAGTGGATGTGCTTTCAATTTGAAGGAGTCTTCGAGCGGTAGGCTTGTTCAGAGGGGCTGGCGTGTCCTTACAACGCACAAGCGGCTGGCAACCACCTTGGAGGCCCCATGTCGATGTTCCAAGTCCTATGTGCATGGTCGATGCACCGGGAAGACAGGGCTTACGTCAGCCCGGTACACACCGGACTTTGCGTATCGGGTGGCCAGGGTGTTGGTTCAGGAAATGGATCATAGTGAGACTCTTCAAGAATGTAAGGGGTCCAGCTACTTGTGTCAGGCCTTTGGTGGAGGAGAGTTTTGTACTTGTGGCGAAGTAAGTATGCCTCACAATCCCAGGACTTGCGCAAGTTGTTTGATGGGACGACAAGATTTGGACAACTTCAGAAGGGTTGCGGGAACTTCGGATGTTTCAGAAGGGCAGGGTCTTTCGGAACAGGGTGAAGATGGGAACTTGTGTTTCGGACTGGGATGAGGAAGTTCATTTCGCTAAGGAGCAGCTGAACCAAGCCGAAACCAGCGCTCGAGAACTTCTTGACAAACAAGATTATAGCCATCGAAGCTGTGAACGATTCCTCGCCCTCTTACCCTACCAAAGCAAGAGTCATCCCCGCCAGGCCCATCAACAGGAGAAACCCCGATATCTGATCCTTGGTACTTACGCCTATGGGAACCACTATGGCATCACCAAAGTGACGTGTCAGCTTAAGGAAACGTGCCAATACTTGTTGCGGTATCTCCAACACTGGTCTCCGGAACCCGTTAGATGTAGCAGTGTGGTCATCCACGACAACTGCCCCATGACGGTCCACCGAGATGTGAACAATCTTCCTGGTTCTAAGAACTACGTCATAGGAGTGACCGCGTATCAACATGGCGAATTATGGTTAGAAGGTCACCAATCAGGCCAGTCCTATCCCAGCTACAACAAACAGCTTCCGTCAGGCGAGTACAAATCAGGACATCTCCGGGCTACGGCGCCAGGTGGTCGTGTTCGATGCCAGGAAATGGCATGCTGTACAAGCTTGGCAAGGACACCGTCAAGTCCTAGGAGGATACACAAGTAGAGGGATTGGTCACTTGAGGGAAGAGGAATTTCAGCTGCTTAAGGATTGTGGTTTTCAGTGGCAGGGTTCTGGGGTTAAAGAAGATGTTCAGGCAGTGTTTCAACAGCCAGCGAAGAAGGGGACCCAGCTTGAGGAAGAAATCAAACGAAAGTTGTATCTTCTGCATGCCGCCACTGGCCATGGGAGCACCCGAAATCTGATCAACGCCCTGAAGCGTAGGAACGTGGATCCGTTGGTCCTTAGGCTCGCTGAAGAATTCCAGTGCCCGATTTGTCACGAAAGGAAGAAAGCTCAACCACGTCAATTGGCCTCCCTCGAACCCTTACCCCCTAAGTTTCATACGGTGTCGGCGGACTTAGGCCATTGGAACTGCCCCAACAGTGGAGAGACTCAGAACTTCATGATGGTGGTTGATGAGGGTTCTCGTTTTAGAGTTGCCAAGGTGTTGACCAAGGGGAACAAACAGACCCCAAACGCCGCGACCTGCCTTAACTTCCTCTCCGAAGGATGGATCCAAGTGTTTGGGAAGCCGAGAGCTTTGAGGCTCGATCCTGCTGGCAGTTTTAGGTCCTCGAGTGTAGAAGACTTCTGTGATAGGAATGAGATATACCTGGACATTATTCCGGGGCAGATCGGTACGGCCGAGAATGCCATTCAGGGACTTAAGACCGTCATGACCAAGCTGAGCAGCGAGGATCCCAGCTTGACCGCGGAACAGGCTATGAGCCTGGCTGTAAGTACGTTCAACCACAGGGAAATGATCAGAGGTTTTTCACCTGCACAACACGTACTAGGCTGTGCACCAGATGAGACTGGGCGACACGTGTTTGGAAACCAACAAATCCGCGACGACGTGATCCTGAATCAACCACTACAGGACTTCCGAAAAGAGACGGAACTGCGGGCAACCGCAGAGAAGGCATTGGTTGAGTGGCAAGCCCAACAACGGCTGACCAGAGCAGCTAATTCTCGTGCGAGGCCCAGCCATCGATATCATCCCGGAGACTTAGTATATTTCTGGAGGACACAAGAGTCCGGGAAAGGAAGAAGGTGCCCAGGAACAGCTCAAGGGCGCTTCCTCGGGCCCGCACGGATCTTGGCCATGGAGACAAGGCAGTCAGAGGAGGGCGAAGCGCGTCCTTCACACGCCATCTGGGTGGTGAGAGGGAGGCACTTGATGAAGTGCAGCCCAGAGCAACTACGGCCAGCCAGCCAGAGAGAGGAGTTGGTGGAGTCTTTGGCCACGGACGATCAGACTCCCTGGACCTATACACGTCTGGCCGAGGAGATTGGGGGAACGCAGTACGAAGATATCAGCGAGGAGGTGCCCACTCCAAACGAGTGGCAACGTGCCCAAGATCAGGCAGAGGAGGTGCTACCACGAAGGAGCCGCATCCGAGGGAAGCGGCCGGCACCAGAGCGAGGCGAAGACCTGGACCTGGAGGACTCGGACAACAACGAGCCGGGCCAACCAAGTGTGGTGCGACGACGAGATCAACTTCCAGGTCCCCAACGACATGAGGGCGCCAACGCGACGTGGCGAGATGAGGTCCCAGAACAAGCCTGGGCCGCTGAGGAAACTTGCTACTGGTCCAACGAGACAGCTGCAGTGGCCATCGAGTTGGAGATGCCAAACAGCAATAAAGGTTGGGACCGCTTCTTCAACAATCCGCAGGCCTACTTCGTGGGTGCCCTCAAGAGGAGGGCCGTTGAGGTCAGCGAGAAACGCTTGTCTCCGGAAGACCGGGAACGCTTTCGCGAGGCAAAGAATAAGGAGGTCCGCAACTTCATCGGGGCGAAAGCCTTCGAGGCCCTTCCAGAGCATCTGAAGCCTTCAAAAGAGCAAGCCATCGGCATGAGGTGGTTGCTCACCTGGAAGGCTCAGGAAGACGGGAGTGTCCGGCCTAAGGCCAGGGCCATATTATTAGGCTACCAGGACCCCGACTACGCCTTCCGCTCAACCACAGCTCCAGTAATGACCCGCCAGACGAGGCAGCTGTTCCTCCAAGCAGCCGCCAACCACAGATGGAGAATACAGAAGGGGGACATCACTGGAGCGTTCCTCCAAGGCCGGGAATATCCGAGCGAGCTCTTTTGCATACCCTGCGACGAAATCCTGGAAAGCATGAACCTCCCAGCAGGGTCAATAGTTCGATTGAAGCGCGCGTGCTACGGCTTAGTAGACGCACCACTAGAGTGGTATAGGACCGTGGCAGAGTTTCTGGAGTCCATTGGACTTACAAGACTGTGGAG